AGTTTGAAAGTCTACAGGTTCAGTGTCTTGCCTGTGGTGTTTGCTCAGTCTCTTACAAATGCTCTTGATATGGGAAGCTGTCCTGACTGTCATATCATTGCTCTGAGGTCTGGAGCTGTTTCATCATCAAAGCTGTGGCAGCAAATTGATGGAGCAGGAACAGGAGTGCCAGTGAGCCCTTGTTGCCTCTGGTGAATGTCAGCTAAAGAAAATTAAATGTATATTTGAGTAATTTTCTTCTAGTGGGCAATTAATGTATGAAAAACATAATTTGTATTATGAGCAGAGTATTATGGACATAATAAGAAATAGTGTCTCTCTGTCAGTTGTTTGTTGACTCTGCAGTCACATCCATGTATTGAGATGAACAACAGTTCTCATCACCCAGACCTGTGTGTTTCTGTCCCTGCTGTTACCCATTCAAAGCCTCCGCTATGACAGTGAAGGACAGCTTTTGGAACACCTGCAGACAGGCAGTGACATGGTGTTCTCTACTTAGCCCATACCATACCAAGGTATGTCAAAGCCATTGAGAGGACTGGAGCCACAATAGTGCTGGTGCTTACTTCCTCCACTCAGCATGAGAGCTCAGGAAAAGGCAGCTGTTCACTGTATTCTTGCAGGGTGGCATTGTCTCATACCAGCACTGGTCTTGGTCCCAAGCTCAACCAACAGTGTAGATACACCTGATTTAATCACTGATTTGTCCTGACATGCTTGATGTGGCCATTCATTATGGGAACCCTAAGAGACCTTTGACTTACAAGGGATATATTATCATTAACTTGCTTAGTGACAGCAATGGAATGTTTTGGGACTGAATCCAATGCTCCTCAGACCCATGTGAGCTTACCAGCCACTGAGTGTCCTCCCCTACCCTGGTCACCCTGTCATCCAAATAAGCACTGAAGGTCTGGCCTGGTCTCTGTGTGATGCTGGGATTAGCCTGAGAAAGTGGGTGAATCAGCTGGCAAGACAGGGATACTAAATGTCCCTTTATACTAATCTGAATGATGTGTCTGATTAGAAGCACTTGAAATGCTACCAGAAAAGAAGCCTACCCTTCCTAGTGAAAGTTAACCCCTGAAGATTTATGTGCTCTGTCTTTTGCTGCTGAATGGGTGAAGTTAGTGATATAAGAGATCTCCTCTAGCTGAAGATTTCATAGTCCTTCTCTGGGATGAGAGCTGCACTCCTTTGGGAAAGTGTGTGGGCTGGTTATGTCCATCAAGCTGCATGGTATCTGAAGTACATCATGAGCTTTCCCTTGACAGAACACTCTTGGCTAGTAAAAGTGTGGGACTGGTTCATGGTCTGAGCTCTGGACACCACCAACCCTCTGCTCTCTCACTTCGCAGACTCCAAACAGATTCAAAAGCAGTTCATCTGAGATTTGTAGTAATGAATGTGGCACCTCTGTAGGATGTGCCCCTGCAGAAAGTCTCTCCAGCTCTTGTTTTCACTCACACCCTGCCTTGCCTGAGATCCCGTTCTCAGCCTCTTAAGGGTGATGTTTATTGTGGCATCTTCTCTGAGAAATGTACCATTTTATTACCCTTTGTCCTTTCTAATATCTGACAGCCCACAGTGATTTAATGATTCACATGCAAAAGATAACCATAATGCTGCTGGTTTTTTACTTTTTTCTTTCTTTTTTTTTTTTGGTTTTAAACTTGGTGGTTAAACCTGGACTGCTGGACTGTTCAGCCATTTCTCCTTGCTGGCTGGTGAACTTCAGCTGAATTTTATCTCTTGGCATTACCTGTTCCTGTGCAGATGCAGAAGTGCTTTGACCAGTCCTCAACACCTGTAAGCATCAACCACAGGTTTTCTATCATGAAAGGGTACCTCACCATCATGCTTGTTCCTACATGGGCCCAGTCCTGTTTAATATTTTTACTGATGATATGGATGAGGGGATTGAGTGTCTTTGACAGCTGTGACATGATTGTCCCAGGATTGTCTGTGTTGCAGTTAAATCTGCAAAAGAATTCTAGGCAGAGGCAAGTGTATTTTAAGGGCATTTTACACAGCTTTGCCTTTAAGAGGACCACTGCAAATAATTTTTGTAGTTAGCTCATGACCTGTATGAAGGGCAGGAAGTGTAGGTACTATTGAACAGGAGACCTTTACTTGAATTGTAAAGTCAATGCAGGATCAGCTCCTTTCTATCTGGGACAGGAATGAGATGAAGGCAGCAACTTTCCTTGACCTGATGGAGTGGTCTGCCTCTGGCAGAGCCAAGAGAAAGAACCATTTTTGCTCTATGGCAAGGGTTCCCCAGAAGGCAGGTTGATGATGGAATTTTGTTGGTGTTTTATTTTACTTGGGGTTGTTCTCCTAAGAGTTTTGTTTGCTCAATGGGTCATATTTTGATTGATGCAGGCAGCAGGGCTACATGGAACATACTAAATCAAAAACACAGAAACAGAGAATCAATGCTGCTGCCAGTGTATTATTCTTTACCTTCACCTCAAGAAGCATTTCTGATAGAAACTGAAACATTTAGTGCCAATAGATGGCAAACCACTTTCAGCACTCTCTGTCTTGCCTTACAAACACCACTCTTGCTCATGGAGGTGTGGGTAGGTGTCCAAAGCTAGCTATTTTTGTTTCTGCGTTGTTGGTACTGGGATCTGTTGGATTGGAAGGTTCCAACAATGGAAGTGCCAGAAAGTAACGTGAATTGTAGCACGTAAGTGCATTTAGAGAATCATAGAATGGTTGGGTTGGAAGGGACATTAAAGAGCATCTGGTTCCAAGCCCCTGCCGTGGGTAGAGACACTTTTCACTATACCTGGTTGCTCCAAACCCCATGCATCTTGGTCTTGAACACATCCAGAGACGGGGCAGCCACAGCTTCTCTGGATGACCTGTGCCAGTGCCTCACCACCCTCCCAGGGAAGGATGTTTTCATAATATCTAATCTAAACATACTCTCTTGCAGTGTGAAGCCAACTTTATTTTTTTTCAACTTTTCATTTGTCTGGTCTCTGATAACAGAGAATTGTTTCCAAAGAGCCAGCCTAACCCTTTCAGGCCAGTGTAACTTTTCTTAATTGCACTACTGTCATATGGCCCTTTAGATACTGAATGAGATAAGGCCTC